TCTCTCTCTCTCTCTCTCTCTCTCTCTCTCTCTCTCTCTCTCTCTCTCTCTCTCTCTCTGTCTCGCCTCTCTCTCTGGTTTCTCTGTGTAGCCCTAGCTGTCCTGGAATTCATTCTGTAAACCAAACTCATGAACTCAGAGATCCTCCTGCCTCTGTCTCCTGAGTGCTAGGATTAAAGGCGTGCGCCGCCACCACCGCGCCACCACTGCCTGCCTCCCAGCTCTTTCCCATCCCTCACCCCCTCTGTATCCCTTTTCTCTTGACATGCCTGGGCACCTTTAGCAGTTTTCAGTATGTACCCTCCGGACATTTCTGCCCCTAGCCACAGTCATGCTAAACTCACCTTTGCCCTCTGGGCGAACCTGGCCCCTGGCCGGAGTCACCCAATGTGGTTCTGTCCCTGCAGGCGCTGCTGCCTTCTCAGGGGCGGTGACTCACACCATGTCCACAGCGCTGCTGGCCTTTGAGCTGACTGGCCAGATCGTTCATGCACTGCCAGTGCTGATGGCCGTGCTGGCGGCCAATGTCATCTCTCAAAACTGTCAGCCCTCTTTCTACGATGGCACCATCATGGCCAAGAAACTGCCGTACCTGCCGTGGATCCGTGGCCGACAGATTGGGTGAGCCTGGGACTGAGGAACGGGATGTCCAGGATGGTGTGGAAGTTAAGGGACACATCCCGCCAACACCACTGCAATCTCCCCTCAGCCCATTACCTGCCCCTCAACCTCCCCAGAGCCTCGTGGGCCGGGAGAGAAAGCCAGAGCTTGGACCAGTCTTACTTCAGGTCACAAGGAGGTTGAGCGTCAGCTGGGAGAGTTCTTTCTCCTCCTTCTCTTGCTCTGATTGCCCAGCTAGGTAATCAGGAGCTGGGGCGCAGATGGGGTCAGAGGTCCTTCCTCAACCAGAACGCACCCGAAGAGACAAGATCCTCTGTGTCCCTGACCAGCTTCAAACTCATGCAAGCTGCTGTCCTGCTCCAAACCTGTTACCTTGCTGTCACATGGGAGAGACTTTTCTCATGCTCTCAAACCTTCTGTAAAATTCTCTCAGGCGTGAGAAAAAAAAAACCTAAAAGAAATTCTTTTAGGGCAGAATTGTGTGAAGTGATCCAGCCCCCACTGAAGCTGGCATTGGAGGGCTGGGGACACAGGATATGCCCATTAGTGAATCCGTCTCTGTTCCTTCCCATTGCAGGTCCTAAGCGTTACTCACTCTTTCAGTCCCCCTGGTCTTGCACTCAGAAACCAAAAATATGTGTTACTTTTCTCTTCAATAAAACACCCAACAAAAGCAACTTGAGGAAGGTTGGGGAAGTGCATTCTGGCTCACAGTCTGAGGGTGCACCATCCATCATGGCGGGGAAGGCGTGGCTGCAGGAATGCGGGGGCAGCAGTCATGTTGCATGCACCAAGCAGAGAGAGCTATAAATGCTGGTGCCCCCTCACTCTTTCTTTCTCTCTCTTTCTTTCTTTCTTTTTTTAAAGATTTATTTTATGTATATGAGTGCACTGTAGCTGTCTTCAGACACACCAGAAGAGGGCATCAGGTCCCATTACAGATGGTTGTGAGCCACCATGTGGTTGCTGGGATTTGAACTCAGGACCTCTGGAAGAGCAGTCAGTGCTCTTAACCGCTGAGCCATCTCTCCAGCCCTCACTTTTTCTCTAGTATTAAGTTCAGGACAAAGCTCACGGGATGGCACTGCCCACACTTAGGGACAAGTGACATGGCCTAAAAACTATTTTGCTGAGGTTTCATTCTATATCTTTTTTTTTTTAAAGATTTATTTATTTATTATATATGAATACACTGTAGCTGTCTTCAGACACACCAGAAGAGGGCATCAGATCCCATTACAGATGGTTGTGAGCCACCATGTGGTTGCTGGGATTTGAACTCAGGACCTCTGGAAGTGCAGTCAGTGCTCTTAACCACTGAGCCATCTCTCCAGCCCTCATTCTGTATCTTAAGTTGAAAGTAAACATTAAACTATCACCTGTCACACGTGGGTGCTCTCCCAGCCTGGTCCCTGTCTTGTCCTGGGGGCTAGAGCCAGCACTGCAGAACTCCTACATGCCTTACTCCGCTCACAGCTCCCACCCTGTGACTGTGGAACACTTCATGAACTGTAACCTTACCACACTGGCCAAGGACATGCCCCTGGAGGAGGTGGTCAACGTGATGACCTCCACAGATGTGTCTCAGTATCCCTTGGTGGAGACCAGAGGTACTCAGCTTGGGTGGGGGTGGGGGGCGCTGCGTGGGAGGCTGGGTGGGGATTCCCTCTAAGTGTCAGGATGGCAAGGGTAGGCAGGGTGTTGGATGTGCCTCTGAATCCAGACTCTGCTGCTGTGTGCCCTGGGGCAAGTCCCTTAGCTTCTCTGTGCTTTGGTTTATTGTGAGTGAACCGGACGTTAACAACTATGCTAACTTCCAGGTGTTTAGAGACCGGAAGGCATTGCAAAGCAGCCTGGGAATGGCTGTTGGGATTCTAGTTAAGGATGACACAGCCATCCACAGCTCCCAAATATCCACGTCTAAAACTGAGTAGGCAGGACAGTTAGCTTCTCAGCCTGCGTTTCCTCATCTGTAAGCTGGGTTAAAGGTCCCAGGAGATTGAAA